GAAAGAAACATGATGAAAAAGTAGCTCAGATTTACAAGGCTTCTCCTGACAGCTAGGAGAAGGAAGAAAATTAAACCACATTAAAGGGCGCCACGTTAAATGCTGCTCTGAGCTGAATGATAATCGTAATTTCATATCTGTCTCCTCAGTGCAGAGGCTTTACATACCAGTAGGCTTATTTAAAATACCTTTATCGTACTGAAATATAGAATACTGAGAGGATTCAGAATGTAATTCTGTAATATAATGAATTGATGTAAGCACAGAGTGGTGTACAGCAAGACAAATTCTTCTACGTTCATGTTCACGTACATATCTTTAAAAAATCTGCAAATGTGTAAAGACAGTCTAAAAGCCTGAGACCACATTTTGAATTTGAACTATGTACTACAAAGAAACATTATGATGTACACTACAGTTATGTATGATTTTGTAATAATAAAGTCTCTTAGGTTCAGCAAGGCTGCATTTGATTAAAATGTTAAAAACAGGTGAAATACTACTGCAATTTAAAAGAGCTGTTTCCTATTTTATTATATTATAAAATGTAATTTATTGCAGTGATGCAAAGCTGAATTTTCAGCAGCCATTACTCCAGTCTTCAGTGTCACATGATCCTTCAGAAATAATTCTAATATGCCGAGTTTTGCTGCCTATGACAAACTATGATACATTTTTTTCAGGATTTTTAAATGTAAAAAAAAATATTTAAAATATAATTATTTGAAAATTATATTTTTGTCAAATTGTAAATATCTTTACTTGTCACATTTTTGATCAATTTAATTCGTCCCGAATAGAAGTATTCATTCCCTTCTTCAACTTTTGAACAGATAAAATTAATATGACACATTTCGTATTTTGCACTCTCTAGGTTACTAATCTAACTACATCGATCATGTGAACACCAACTGATGGTCAGATGTTCTCGTTTCCAACAAAGCACAAAATGCTCTTTGGATCATTCTCAAATTACGCTTGAGAACATGATCACTTGGTTTTATGCAAAACTTGTGGAGCTCATGCAGCTGACTATTTCTGATTATTATTTCGCTCAATGGCATAAAGCGGTGACAAATTTTGTTTGGCATAATCTTGGTTGAACGAGCCGACTTTAATCATGCGCTCTTGATGGAGATTTTACAAATCAGCAGTGAACTCACAAGGTGACCTCTCATCACTTCACCAGTATATTTTCCACATTACAGGACCAAGTCTGACCAGAAACTAAGGTAACCAGTGGGTGGGTATAGCCAAAGATATATAAGAAACAAATATGAAATCAAACTCACACTAAATCACAGTTTTGTGGTGCACGGGTTATATATTAGATGGAGAGGACCTGCTTTCAGTATTGGAAATTAATTTTCTTACTCCTGTTAAAATGAATAAATGTCTTGGAGCATGTTGCATTCCTACATCATGAACAAGCAGAGGACAAAATAACAGGAGGGTGGAGACATCTAAGTTGACTTATTATGCTGCTAGAAAGCCTACTGAGTGCAAAGTCAAAGATATTAAATGCAGGCAGAACAGACTCAGGCCTTTCTATTTGTAAAAAATGCCATTTTTACATAGCAAAAGCAACATGGAAGCTGTACCTAAAAGTGGCACATTTACCCTAGAGAGCTGACACTTATACAGAAATTCAGATGTTTCCAATATTAAATAGTGAACATAGAAACATGAGATGTCATTAAAAATATCAATTTAAAAAAATCTTTACTCAAATATAATAGAGTAATATAGGAAAGAATATTTCAGGTCAGTAAGACATTTAATTTATACATGTTCGGAATAAATAAATTTGTTCAAAATAATATGGTAAATTCAAGCAAACGGATATAGTTTTGAGTGTGAGATTTAACTAGATTCACCCTAGTTTCTCATTGAAAGGAAGATTGCTGAGGGATTATTTTGAACATTCCACGAAAAGGTCAAAATGTCAGAAGAAATGTAATATATTTGAAACCAGTGTTACTCATTACTCACTTTACAAATTGCACAATATTTGTACATTTGATGCCCATTTTCATCTAGAAAGTCATGGAAACACTTATCTTTTCTGTAATCCTGCCAGTATGGATTAATACTACATCTAGCAATTCTGTGATACAACATTTCAGAGCTACTGGGCAACAAGCCAGTTCTGTTTAAATATAGAGTGGGGATTTATTTAAGACTTACCAACTAAAATAAATGCATAAAAAAATATATAAATAAAGAAGTCACTTTTCTGGTACGTTTCAGATGGATTTAGGTGCTAGATTATTTATAATAATTTATATGTTTTAAAGTACCTCTCTATCATGAAGCTAACAGCAGGAGAAAAATGGTTAATAGCAGCTCCTGTTCATAAACGTGTTTCTTCTTTGCTAATATCGCCATCTAGTGGAGGCTTTACAAAGCCTACAAGCCTGTTCTTAGTGCACAGATGAACTAAATGTTTCAAAGAAACTAAGATTACTTACATTCTTCCAAACCCAACTGATAAGCCAGATTCTGCAGTCCCTTCACCTTCTCCATCAGATTTGCTGTGGTCAAACTTCCTAATTCTAATTAAAAACAACAACAAACATAAGAAGATTAATATTTGTAGTGCCAATGCCAAAAATAATAAAAAAGATCATAACACACAAAAAATACCACAGCTTTTCTAAATTCATATTGCAATTTGTCTACAAATACTAAGATCTTTAATGTAACAAAGCATGTGTCAGATAGGTCCATAATATAAGAACACTAAAATTATGCACCGAGAAGCTTGATTTAATTTGTTTTGGTTTTATGAAAGAGGCAACAGACCTTTCAACATTTCAATATCTTCTGACTCCAGTTCAGCCATCCACTTGGGCGGAGAATTCGTGATAGGCTGGAACAACAAACAGAAGTCTCAATTTCATGTCTGAATGCAAACTTTCCAAATAACTTATTTTCATTTATAATTTGATTCTTTGCTCACATTTTTGAAGGATGCAGCAAATTCAGAAACACCCGGTACTGTTAAAATGTTAAACAAGTACATGGGACTTTCAAAACAACATTCAAGGGTACATTAGAAATAAATATGACAGGCCAAAATAAAAATATTTAAATACGTTTGTTTTTCAACAAACGTTAGGGTCATATTTGGAAACATCTGTGAATGTTACATCTTATAATATACTATTTTAGTTTAAATCAATAATTATTAGACACTCAAACTTACACTGCTCCGGCCACAGGTCAGGTGAAGCTCGGTCAAGTTTTTCAAAACTTAGCAGAGAGGATTCAAAGTCCTCACCTAAATATATATATATATATATATAAAATAAATAAATAAATGATACATGCCCTTTATTACAACACTGGTTCAGACACTGGTTTAAGTTTAAATGCTGTAACTTTCGAAGAAACAATCCTCATGTTTTGCAGGATATAATGTTAAGTTTGCATGTAATGTTATGACAAGTCACATTAGAGGGGGAGGTTAGGTTATGTTTACTCAGCTGTTTGTATTGTTGTGATCCAGCTGAGCTAGCTGCATTGGATAGCAATGCTTGTTAAAATAAACAAAAATACATATTTAAAAATAGAAACAATATACAAAAAGTACTCTTTTCCGCATAACCGCTGCATCAATACATTCGTATAATATTTAATATAGTAACCGATGTCGCTTGACACGTAGCTTGCTAATGACTGACTCCAAACAATTTTATGACGCTATTCCGAGGGAAAAGCTTTTTTTGAAACTGAATTCATCAATACTTTAAGAGGATATGTTGACTAGCATAACAGTTTATAAGGTTTAATCGGTCAGTTGCACTAGTACAATAACAACTAATGTTACCAGGTAAGAGACGAATTAAAATTTACCTCCATTCGGAGACGCCATCTCGATAACAACACACGTGATTCGAGGCAGCCAATGGTTGAAGGCCGTGGATTCCTGTAGCCGCGCCCTCTTGGGTTGTTGTTTGTTTGTATTGAACTTTCAAAATTACAAAATTCAACAGCAAGTTCTTCACATATTTCTCATATTTACACATGTTGTAAATATGTATATTTAGCCCTCTTGTGTTGTGTGAGATGTCGCAACCTTTTGTTTTTCTTAGTCTATGGTTGCAACATTCACATGAGACTTTCAGCTCACTTGAGAACTAACATTATTTTTTACCATGGTGTTAATTTTATAAAATTGATTACAATTTTTAAATAGTCAATTACGCTATATTTAAGAAAATACATCAGGATAACTTGAGATGTTAAGAGATATTGGCAACAAATACAGTGACAGGGAATTAAATAGACCATTTATGCATTATCAACATTTCAGTGTGTTAATATAAAGTGATATGTAGCATTACTTAAATATGACAAATTCAGAGACTGTCAGAGGAAGGACCAGACACTGCAAAGCTGGTTGAGATAAAGGGAGAAATCAGCCAGATAAAGTTGCTTGAAGACGGTGGCTAGAACAAAGCCACTTTATTAATAAGTGGAGATTATAAAACCTGTCAGCAAAGATTAGTTTTGCAAGAAAACGTTAAACTTCAGGGATAGGATAATAAAGTGGGTTACAAATATACAGTCAAACACAAATAACACTATTTTCTTCTTAGCATGATGGTGGTTTATGATAAGAATTCTCAGTAAAAGGACTTAGAAAAGGCGTTGCTCTTAAATGCAACGCAAATTAAGTCCAAATACATACACATATTTGCAATGTATTCATTTCAGTCAGCCATTGATCTGCATTTAAGGTAACAATTCCAGTAACACAATAACAAAGGGACACAGCTAATTATTTTGAAAATCCAAAATGAAATTCAGTGGTATGACCCAGAAATGGCAATTTAATTTATCAAAACCACAACTTGTGTAGCTGAGAAATATAATATTGTGATACATCAAAGGTTGCTGTTTTTGAATACACTAATTCTTAATTTTTTTCTCTCTCAGAAGAACAAAATATGTAACAAATGAAATGTACAAAACCCAATTGAAGGAGTGAATATTTTATACATCATCAGAGTCTGATGAAATCTGAAACCAGAAAGGCACTTTATTAATTGTCAGTTTAGTTCAGTCCAGCTACAGCAGTTAAACACCATCAAGCTTTAATGTAAAATAAAAATAATATTGAAATAATCAGTTTCATCACAGCCTAACAGCAGAGTAAAGACTACTTCCACAATGAAATGAGCCAGTCAACATGTAACAACTGAAATGGTTAAAAAGATTTTATGAAGACCTGGACACTTCAAAATTGTCTAAAATTGTCTAAAATTCCCAGGATTCCATCCACCTGAGGCCAGCCATGGACGAGGCAGGGTCTTGTGCCAGCGGCCCCCTCATACCATAGGAGAGAGGGTGGAAGAGATAAAAGCTGGAACAAGTAGAAATTCAAGTGTGAGATCAATATTAGAAATTGACTGAATTTGTGACCTAAAAAACATAATACATAGAACATTTGTACAAAATGCACAATTTCAGCATTAGATAAAATTAATATACTTGGTTAATTTACAACAGCAAATGTTGTAAATATAATAAAGGCTTAAAAGTGATGTTAGCCCAAAAATAACTACATTTAAATATTAGAGCCTTACCTGTAGATGAACCCTAACAGGAATATAAATTGACCTCCCCTCATAAGATGATGGGATATGGATGAACTAAGGAGAAGGTGTAAATTCTGGAGGAAGATGTCCAGAGTAATACCTTAAATAAAGGTCATTAAATGTTAGAATTAAATGTGTTTATTGAGATAACATTGTGTCTAAACATGCTAATTAATGCTGCAAAATTTGAAATATGTAGACAAGTTTTTTTTTTTTTTAATCGGAAATGTAACATTCCATCACTTGCTCACCAATGGATCCTTTGTAGTGAATGGGTGCCGTCAGAATGCGAATCAAAATAACCGATAAAAACATCACAATAATCCACAGGTAATCTACATGTTTCCAGTCTATCAATTAATGTCTTGTGAAGCAAACAGCTGTTTATAAGAAACAAATTCATTAAGATGTTTTTAACTTCAAACCATTGCTTCTGGCTAACATACGAGTCCCCTATAACACTGCTTTCTCTACTGTACTGAAAACAACATCTTGTGTACATCAGGAGAGAAATATGCACAGATCAAACAAGTGAAAACAGTCCAAAGCAGTTCTAAACAAATATTGCGATGTTTTTACCAGCTGTTTGGACTCACTCTGATGACACCCATTCACTGGTGAGCAAATGATGTAATGTCAGTGTAAATTTCTCCAAATCTACATTTTGGATGGCATGAGGGTGAATAGATTTTCAGCAAATGTTCATTTTATTGTAATTCAAAGAAGGCAGCTCTGACTGCAGCATAACCTATTGGACCAATGCAGTCCCCACTAGGGCTGTCAAATTTTTTTTTTTCGAATTTCGAATATTTGTCAAATTTAAAATAAAAATCCACATTCGAATGCAAAAACGTTGCATTGCACTCGCACAAAAGAGCCGCATGTTTAGAAAGCCATGTAAAATTAATGCAAGTTTAACTTTGAAAAAAACATATATCGAGACTTTATGGCGGGTTTTTTTCCCCATCCCACTGCATCTCATCTTTTTAAATGAAAAATGTACTCTGTGTGATTGGCTTTCCGTCCTTTGTATTAAACTATGCATACATACATGATGCCATTTTGTTTATAGTTGTTTAAGCACCTTAATTAATTATAATTGGTTTATAAACATTATTTTAAACATTATGCACTTTTTTCACAGATAGTCGTTATCTTATGCTTTGAATAAACGTGCATTAGTAATATTTTGCTCGATGCGCCCTCTTGTGGCCTCAGAAGAGAAGCCAAAAGCTATTCCTCCCCATAACTGAAATTATGCATTTTAAATTAGAATATAATTAGAATTTTAATCATATTTAAGTACAAAATTCGAATTTAGTTTTTCAGCCATTTTGACAGCCCTAGTCCCCACGCTTATCTGGTTTGCCGTCGTACCTGTGAGCATACTGCTGAACAACACGGCAGGAAAGTAATGGTGGTAGTAGAGTATGCGACCCATGACGTAGAATGGGAGGTAGTGTAATAGCCAACCCAAAAGCAGCATCCCACCACCCTCCATGAGAGTGTGACAGTGCACTGAAAGACAACATCAGCTGTTTTAGACTTATGATTGGCTCTTTTTAAGTACTGTACAATATGTAGTGCTGCTTACCTTTCCTCATTCCCTCCATCTTCACTCCTCTCTGTTTTGCTAAAGATGCCACTGTCAGCATTAAAACAAACAGAGCCAGACTCAAGAGATTCAGCCACCAGATGACCTGAGGATAAAAGGTAATCTTCAGTAATGATACGACAAGATACTGTATCTTAGGAAACATAGGGCAAAAAAAAAGAAAAGTTAGAGACACTTACAGGGTTCCCGAGAAGATAAACGCGGTACTCTGTCTCATTCACTCCAGAAAACCTCAAACCCTATTATGAATAATGAATTATAATGAGATAGTACTCCAATAGATGTGGATCTTCAAAACAGTTTTGTTAGTTTTAAATAAATTTGACTAAAGCTAATATAAAATCAATTAATAAAAAACATTTTCATTAGAAATTTTCAATAGAAATAAAAACTGAAATAAAATAAATTAGAAATGTTGTCTTGGCAATTAACGAAAATAAAATAAGCACTAAAATTACTAAAAATAAAATTAGATAGAAATATTAAAAAACATAAAAATGGCACATAAAATTACTAAAACTAAAATAAAAACAAAACATAAAAAGTAAAGCATATTCAAATTATTAATTAATTATAAATAATAAATAAATAATAATAAAATATCACTTTCAAAATAGTGGTTTCCCTTTAAACAGTCTTTTTAGACAATCTACCTGATAGTTGATGGGCCAGTGCCAGGGTTTAGAGTTCATCTCGTTGTCTTTGGGCTTTAAACCACTGTTTCCCTAAACAAAAATACAAGGTTTACTAAACTAAAAGGTAGATTACTAAAAGGTAGATTTTCCTTTAGGGTAATCTTATTTTACCCTGATCATCACAATATGAGACTCCCAGAGGATCTCCTGGAAAGTTGGTTTGAGCACTGAAAGACTGATGTTGGGCACTGTAGACATAAAAAGATGTTGCATGAACATCGACGTAAAACCCATCCAATGGCACATTTCGGTCTATTAGCTATATGAACATACGTTTAGGGTTGATGTGATCCTCAATGTTCCACTGTGTGTTGGGGGTCTCTTTGACATATGGGCTACATGTGACCTCCACTTGCTCCCATCCCCTGTAGAAGAGTCAAATCCAGTTTAAATGGTTTTCTGTGCGTTATGCACTACAGACCACACCTAAGGTTTCTGCTGAATGAATGCTCTCACCACTTGGGAAGAGTCTTTCCAGAGGAGCAAAGCACGCAGCCTGTAGAGCGATGGAGAAAATGCACTTTACTACGCAACACCTTCACCGGATCTCCTTTCTTCCCTCCACACACCTCCACCTGCCACAAGTCATTCACGTCTCCGCTTCCGTTCTGAAATGAAAAGCCATTATTGTTTAAAATTTGTAATGCTACTCTATTGGAACTTATGAAAATGATCAATGTTCATTTGGAGATTTAAAGTTGTGCTGAGGTTTGATGTTATCTAGAAGCACAAGGTCATCTTTATTCTGGCAACGATACAATCAGAAAATAAAAACAAAGCTGAATCTATTAAGCTGATAGAACACAAACCCACCTAATCAACTGATAATGGAACATGGTTTCTATAATAATGCCAAAACATTATAATACATGAATGGTAACATCTAATGAAAAAAAAAATACAGTACTCACAATGCCGTAACCTGTGACCTGCAGGTGCTTTTTGGTCAGTGGAGCTTCATGGAAATGACTATGAAGATTTCTTGTAGTTCTGATGAAGAAAATCAGGCGTGCACTGCTTTAAACTAACAGTTCACATCATTCTTTTAGGCCATAGCTATGTTACTTTCCCAAAGACCTTATACGTACTCTTTGTGTTCCAGTCTAATGATGTCACCATGTCGGACCAGTTCTGGAGGCCCTGTGAGATCTTAGCAGGGAACAGGAGTTATTGATTCTTGTGCAGTGTGTATCTAGAAATACATGTACAAGAACATGTACACGAACTCACCGTCAGAGTTGTCAGGTCTCTTGACCAACCATAGGTTATAATCTTTGTGCAAATAGGCTGTAACCTACATGAGGTAAGATGCAAAATAGATTTATACAGCGAGATGATTTACCATCATCAACAGAATAACTACTAAATTCAAGCCACAAATCAAATGTGCACATTTAGACATTCATAGGTTTGGTGTCGGGAAGATTATTTGAATGCTGTGAAAGAAGTCTCTTATGCTCACCAAGGCTGCATTTATTTAATCAGTAAAAACTGTGATATTGTGAAATACTATAACAATTTAAAAGAACAGTTTTTATTGTATTTTAAAATGTTATTCATTCCAGTGATCCTGTGTCACATGATCCTTCAGAAATCATTCTAATATGCTGATTTGCTGCTCAAGAAACATTTCTTAATTATTATCTTCATCGGTGTTGACAACAGTGTGCTGCTTAATATTTTCTTACTTACTCCAAACTTTTTAACGCTAGTGTTATTAGAAATTTTGAACCAAATTAAGAATTACAGATCAGTTTTTCATCTTGAAACCTTCCAGATAGTGTTACTGTAGTGCTGCTGTCAAACTGTCTGTTAAGAGTAAACGGTGGTGAACCGACCTGTTGCTGGTGAGCTCCAACACCTTCTGGGTAAAGGTGCCAGTGAGAGTGCAGATACCCTCCTGCTATTCGCAGATTCTTCACAGTTATGACAGAGCCATATGCCAGATCTGTGTGGAGGGAGGGGTACAAGCCAGGATTTAGACAGAAAATTGAATCTTTTCACAATTTGTTGTGAAAAAAATTTTTTTAAGTAAAAAACGAAACATAAGCAGTAAAAATGTCAAATCTTGAGCTCAAGTTGTTCTTACACTCTGGCATGGAGGCGTTGTGCAGATTGTTTCCAATTAAGCGAGACTGAAAGGCAGAGCTGAAGAACCCATCCCCAGGACCGCTGTGCATCGAAAAGAACAAAGCTTTAGCATTATTTTATTGCATTGCATATGACCAATGAACTGCTTTAATAATAGAACAGAATATTAATATTGGCTCAAACATACCTTCTGTTTAAGACAATAAAGTGAACAGCAAATATTGTAGTGTACAGGAACAATGGGAGCATTATCAACCCAAAAACTCGAGCTAATAAGTGCTTCCCAAAATCCAGCTAGTGAAAAACGAGAACATATTTTCATTCACTGCAAGCACTAATGTTTAAAAGTAGGGATGCACGATATTATCGGACCAATATCGGCCGATAATGGCTTTAAATGTAAATATCGGCATTGGCCTGATATGAAAAATTATGCCGATATGTCTTGCTGATAAGAGGGATACATTAACTCACATGTGCTCAGGGTGTGCTAGCGATTAGATCACGTCAGCATTGTGGCTCATTCTTGAAGCAAAGTTTTGCCTGAATGGTGATTAGATTCACTCTTTTGGATTGCTGCATTTAAACTGAGAATGCACCTACAGAATGACCTTTGGTGTGTGATAGAGTAAACAGTAATAAGCAGGTGCAGTGGCAGCAGGGTCCTAATGCCTGTCCGTAAGAAGTTGTAATTCCGTAGGGGGCGCTGTTGGCCTACTTCTACTAAAATGAAAGCAAAATACACAAATAATATTTAGACTGTTTCTGATTAAATAAAGCCGTAATTGATGCCATAAAATCATGAGTATGTTTTGATTTAAAGGTCAGAAGCTATTGCTTACATGAACAAAAAAAAAAATCACAAACATGACACTTAAATTAAATAATTTTATATTTACTGATTTATTCATTAATGTGTAATATGTTATTTTTTTAAACAAATTATGAAATCTAAAAATATTTTCTGAATTATTACAACTCCTTTGCTTTAGACCATTTACACGTTAAATAATAAAATAACATGTTAAGGTTACCACTGCATCTTTCTGAAAAAGTGATTCAGTGATTCATATACAGTTTATTTATAGTTATTTTCAAATCTTGTCAAAATAACTTTATTATTGTTTATTTAATTCTAACATATACGTTCTTGTTAAAAACTAACCAAAATTAAAAATAATTATATATTGGTATCTGCATCAGCTATCGGCCAAAATGAGTTGAAAATTATCGGCAAAAATCCAATATCGTGCATCCCTATTTAAAAGTTTGAAATCCGTAAGATTTTTTTCTCAGCAAGGATGCATTAAATTGATCAATTGACAGTAAAGACTTTTACAGTGTTACAAAAGATTTCTATTTCAAATAAATGCTGTTCTTAAAAAATTCTATTCATCAAAGAATCCTGAAAAAAGTATCACAGTTTCCACAAAAACATTAAGCAGCACAACTGTTTCCAACATTAATAATAATAGGAAAAGTTTCTTGAGCAAATCAACAATTTAGAATGATTTCTGAAGGATCATGTGACACTGAAGACACTGTGACATCACAGGAATAAATTACATAAACCGTAATAATATTTCATAAAGTAACATTGCAATATGGTGCTTGTACTGTATTTTTGATCAAATAAAAGCAGCCTTGTTGAACATAAGAGATATTGTTCAAAAACATTACAAATCTTATTGATCCCAAACTTCTGAACAGTGTATATTTGAGAATATATTCAATCTTTCTTTCCATTAATATATGGTTTGTTAGGATAGGACGATATGTGGCCGAGATACAACTAGGCCTATTTGAAAATCTGGAAACTGAGGGTGCAAAAAAATCAAAATATTGAGAAAATCGCCTTTAAAATTGTCCAAATGAAGTCCTTAGCAATGCATATTACTAATCAAAAATTAAGTTTTGATATATTTATGGTAAGACATTTACAAAATATCTTCATGGAACATGATCTTTACTTCTATATCCTAATGATTTTGGGCATAAAAGAAAAATCAATAATTTTGACCCATACAATGTATTTTTGGTTATTGCTACAAATATACCCCAGCGACTTAAGACTGGTTTTGTGCTCCAGGGTCACAAATGTGAGTGAGAAAAACGACACGTCGAGCAAGATTTGTGAGGGTCTAATAGGAAAAAAAAAACAGTGTTTTCTATTTTCAGTTTAATATAAAATTTTGTTAACTCTGCTAATGGAATAAGTAGCAGGTCTATTTTTAAAGCACAATCTCTTTAGGTTTATGGTAATTAGTGTGTGTGTGTGTGTGTAAAGTATGTGCATTATCCTATGCGAACAAGAAAAAAAATATATAAATATAATATATATAATATATATCTTTAAAAAAAAAAAAAATATATATATAATTTGCTGTATACTTCTACTACTAATAATACAATTTGTGTCATTTTCTGCAGTCCAAAGAAAATTATTCAATTTATGCAACATTATTTCCCCTTTACTGTAATTACTTTTTATGTGTAGGTAGATTGGTTAAATCTGGATTATCTTGTGATTGATATTGTATCTGGAACTATATTTAAATAGCAGCCAAATCAACAAACATTACGACTGATTTATGGACTGTTTTATTAGATAAGCAAGTACAATATAGATAGATGATAGATAGATAGATAGATAGATAGATAGATAGATAGATAGATAGAAAACAGACATAGACACAGGCACCAGGTGTATGCATAACATAAATTGTAATTTGGAGCTAAAAATGTGTATTAACAGTCTTTTCATGCTTCTGAATGATCCGTATAGGTCAATGTCCTTCATATACCCATATATTACTGATCTACAAGCAAAAATGTTATAATTCTTAAAACTCCATTAGATGAGTATAAGGTCCGTTAGTATCCAGCTTCAGGACTTGTCTGTTCCCATATGTTCCATGTTTGAGCTCTGTAACAGTGTCACTGTTCTTGCAGGCTGAGAGTTCATTTTGACTATGAGACACAAAGCTGTCGTAGAGCTTCAAGCCTTCATCTTTCCCAATGTTGCCATGGTACTGCATCCCTTTTCCTTTTGGTTTTCCTCCAAGCGTAGCTTGCGGTACTATGAGAACACTGCCTGGTAGCTGAAGGACTGAGGTGTACTTTCCAGATTCTGTCTCACAAAGCTTCGTGTTCAGTAATGTGTTCACTGAGTGAGAAAACAGGTGTAAATTAAATACAGTGTATATTACATTTCAGAATTAATGTATGTATGTTTTATTGCAAATGTGAGACAGGAGCAATTGCATACCCATTTTGGGGATTATATCTTCAGTTGCACCTTTGAAAAAGCAGATGTAGATAACCATTCCCCTATTAATCTGAACAATAGACAGGTCATTAGTTCGACAAAAACTAGAATTGTGGTTAAGATTAATTATTTAAATATTTTCCCGATACCTCAACCCATTCAGCTTCACTCTCAGCATCTGGAGGTTTGACCTGCAGTCGTGCATGCAGACACTGCTGGAGAATCGCTCGCGCTTTCATGCCGTTATCTGTTCTCTCGGACATTGCTACGAAATATGCCGGAAATTGCCGATTTCAATGACAGTGATCATCAATTTAATTCCGAGATTACATAAATAATATAAGTGTATTTTGAAATGAACCATGGAACTACCAGGGGGGTCCGCTTCCGCGTGAGAATCTAAACAATATACGTCATCAAGAGTCGACAGTGCGATGCGACTTCACGACAGCTCATGCCAGCTATATTTTTGTTTTAAAAAGTTACACTGTATTTGTGATATATTATATGATTTATTCAAAGACGTAACTAAGCACTAAACCGATAGAAACGAGTGTCACATGGAAACCACAGCGGTGTCTCTGTCTTTGTTTTGTTCGTGACATTGTCTGAAATCTCGTCTCTGGGAGCTTTATAAGATGGTTAAATTACACGACAGCTACAAAAGGTTTTTGCAAATATATACATTGTCCTCAAACATTATAGGCACACCACTTTTGGCTAGCAGATTTGTTCCTGCACATCAAAATAGACATGAAATCCGCTTCAAGGTAAGTAAAACTCATTAATATGGCTATTGATTACAGGTGCCCTAATTATTAATGGTGTATAGATGCATAAACCCAACGACATTACAGTTTAGACTGTATTACAGACACATTCTCCCACTTTTTTTCTGTTTAGACTTCAGGTGCTGGTGAACGAGCTCTACAGGAGAGACAGAGGCAGCACATGGCCAGAGGTTTGCCAAAACAAAAGCCCATAGCTGGAGTCAAAGAGGTCATTGTTGTTGCATCAGGGAAAGGAGGGGTGGGAAAGTCCACAACAGCAGGTCTGTTGTCTTTTGCGTTCATTGACCTTTGTGTGTTTCATGCCACAATAATTTCCAATCTGTTTGTTTTACTCTTTATGGTATCAACTACCAGCATTTCTCTGAAAACCTCATTTAGTTTAATGTCTTCACAGTGAATCTTGCTCTTGGACTTATGGCTAACGATCAGGTGACATTCAGATAACCCTATCTCAGACACTGTATTGAAACCACAAAATGATTTAACTTTTTATTAGATGATTTGCCTTCAGTAATATCTTTTTTCGTACCACTGCTGCATGTAGAGTAAATCGGTGGGTATTCTAGATGCTGATGTCTATGGCCCCTCCGTTCCAAAGTTAATGAACCTAAAAGGAAACCCTGAATTAACCGACAGTGAGTTTTTTGGCCACATTTGCTTTGTAAACAAAATATATTTTGTTTTATAAGAAAATTAGTTTGTCAGTCTGATCCTTTTTTCTTGATTTTCAGAGAACTTAATGAGGCCACTTGTGAATTTTGGAATTCCTTGGTAAGTACATGACTGATTAATAGTTATAGTGCAAAAGTGTTATTTTATATAGCCTGCTGTTCAAAATATTTTCAAAATGTATTTAAAAGAAGTCTTTTATGCTCGCCAAAGTTGCGTTTATTTGATCAAAATTACAGTAACAATGTATTTTAAAATTTAAATAATTCTTGTGACGTCAAAGCTGAATTTTCAGCATCATTACTCCAGTCTTCGGTGTCCTTCAGAAATCATTCTAATATGCATCTATTTGCTGCTCAAGAAACATTTCTTATTATTATGTCGAACAGTTGTGCAGCTTGTTGAAACCAACATTTTACAGGATTCCTGTAACATAAATCTCATATATAGAAGCAATAAATTATTTTTTAAAAATCTCACTGACCTCAAACTTTTGAATGTTAGTTTTGTTTTTTTCTTTTATACAATGTTTAAATGTTTTAAGGTTTTACTTGTTGCTTCTCCGTCCTCTACAGTATGTCAATGGGCTTTCTGGTTGAAGAGGTTGCACCTATTGTGTGGAGGGGTCTGATGGTGATGTCAGCTATTGAGAAACTCATTAGACAGGTGTGCAATTTGGATTTGGAAATTGCTGCTGATAATAGGATTTTGTCAAATATCTATTTTTTTCTCAGTTGTCCTCATCCAGCACAAATAGATGTGATTTCTTCAATAG